ACATGATGTTTCATACTTCAGGCAGAATGCTTTATGCAAAGGAAATGTTGTTAAATGAGCCTAAAATTGACAAGCAGTGCCGATATGTTGTAACACATGACAAGAGAGCACGCAGGACAGAGCAGCAGGGTGCTGTCGCTGTGGAGCACAAGACCGCGGAGCCAGGCGGACCGCAGAGCAGCACAGCGGCACCAGGGTAAGAACTGGACCCCCAGCTCAATGGGAAAGGAGCAGGAGGCCAGTGTGTAGGGGCAAACTGGGCCCCTCCAGTCCCTTTGAGGGACCGGCCCATGAAGTCGGGGGGGCAGGAAGGGTGCCGGAGACGTCACTACACTGCTCAGCGTGCCCTCGCAGAAAAAGCCCCCTGGCACCGCCCTCCCAGCTTATTTTTAGAGATCTGTTCTGCCAACACCCTATACCAGAACCTTCCCAGAATAGCTGCTCCAGAGAAAGCAAGGGCAGGCCCATCACACGTTGTTAATAAGCAACAATAACAACCCCTTCCTTCGACAAATAAAACAGAATATTTGTTCCAACAGAAACACAGTGTCAGGCAGGGCAGTGACACTGGATATTACCATATACAGAGAGGCCGGATGCAAAAGAACAGAATAGCAGTGCTTCAACATTTCCTGCAACACAATCTGTTTTGCTGCCTCTTCCTCTCGTCCCGATAACCTCCCCGACTCCAGCTGCAAATAGATTAAAAAAACCTCACCAGCTCTTTAACATTAACATTGCTCTTTTCCCTCTCACCTCCCAGCGTGAGAGGAGAGAGAGTGACAAAGAGCCACAGGCGAGAAATAAAAAGTTGCGGCTCAGGGATAAAAAAAAATATTTTATGGCGCGTCTCAAAAACACCGCAAGTGCCTCTGCTGAAGAATTCTGGCCGTTTTCACTCTGTCTAGAGCACACAAGACATCTCTCAGCCATGACATGTTCGACAGAATTAACCTGCATTAATACTACAGACTAGAAATACTGCCTGGGGTCACTGAACTCCAGTCCTGGAGCAGGGTGGCAGTTGTTAACTATTGGTGGGGAAAATACAATAAGACTTCAGTTTTGCTTCTGTAAAATATGTGCAACATTAAGAGTATAGGGATATAGACCAGACTTTGTTAGCATTCTATTGTGCAAACCACAAAACATACAGCACATTTAAACCACATGTTCCAGTTCCCAGAGTTTAGACTTGCAAGACTAACAAAGCCTGCACTTGCTGGGACTGGACCGGAGACACTGTCCCTCAGAAGCTCATGCACCTGTGTGTGTGTGCGCGCGTGCGTGTCTGTGTCTGTGCGTGCGTCTGTGTGTGCACACACAACGGGACGAGTCTGGAGACGGGTGACAGGGCCTCCCAGCAGAGCAGGGAGACAGGCCCTAGATGGGAACTCTGGAGGGGCCGAGTCTGAAAGGTCCTGGGGAGCCTGCTCTCCCCGGCCCGGCATGGGGAAGACATCACTCTGCACTCCGGAGCCGAACAGAGGCTCTCCAGAGGCAGGAGCGCGGCCCGGATCAGCCTCCCCGAGGAGCAGCAGCTGCTCCCGTCACTGACGCCTATTGTGCCCACATGGCCGGCAGCTTCCTCGGATTTTCAATTTACGGAACACACACGGAGACGTTCGGAAAACAGGTCTATTACATGAATACCCCTCTCTTACGAACTTCTTACACACCAGACACTGTAGTTTGGCTAGCCACAAATAACTTAATACAGTACAGCGATCAATTTTCATTCATTCAAGTACAATCTGTCACGCTGTTCCTAACTTTCACGTTACAGTTAGAAGTTGCGTGGACTGCCTGTGGTCTTCACTACGATATTATCGTCACCTCGCGGGATCAAGTACATACATACCGCAGACTTTTAATAATTAGCCAGGTCTGAAATATTTTTTGTAGATCAAATGCTTTTTATAATGAAGAAGTCTTACATTCGCAAATGTTATATCATTTGTACAGAAAATCAATTAAACATTTTACAGGATTTATTACCAAAAGTAAAATAGGCTCTAGAGTTAAAATTGGCTTGGCTGTTACACAATGCAGTGCAGCTGTTCCTGAATTGGCCAGGCACGAAATACAGCCTTTCCAATAATGCTAAATGGCAGTGTTACACTTCCAATGGCAGAGTCGTATCACACTAATTTTAAGACAAGCCTGTTACATTTTAATGAACACGCTGAAAAACTTTGGCTCAGTTATTGGGCTTATTGGGTGAACATCACGGCATTAACAATTATCAGCCAAGCAGTTCATTAGGACTAGTGAGCTTTTCAAGAATAAACTGTTGTAACTACAAGCTACTACTAAACTACAAAAAACTGCAAGCTACAGCAGCTACCATCACTAGAACACTCCGACAGAACAGACGAATGAATCTTGGGTATCAGGTGAAATCCCCTTATAACACCACGTCCTAAGTCTAAAAAAAATAGGGAAACTCCAGGATGTGATGACATCATGCAGTGCTGTGTTATCCAGTCAGGGCAGCACTGTCCTGTCTTCCCAGACCACAGAACGCACATCCAATAACAGCAGGACAGCAGTGACCTGACTTTGGACCAGAGGTGTTTCACAGGACGCAGTTCTCGCACTCCGGTCCTCAGGACCCTCCTGGAGGGCTGTCAGCCCGTCCACACCGGTGGCCAGGGGGCTGGAGAGGGTGGGACTACGTGACAGGGCTCAGGTCACCATGCAGGGGCAATGGAAAGAAGAGCCAGTCTGAACGACTGAAAGGGTCTGGCTCACATCCAGTCTGCACAGTGCATGACGAAATGCCACACTCTGTCCCTTAGCAAGAGTTAAATGTATTGATAATTTCACTTCTCCCTTTATAGGACTTCTGGTGTCTAATGATAGTCTTGCAATGTCAATGTGCTTCCTGTACATATGGCTTACTCAGTTTAATATAAAAAAAAACCTTCACAACTGGGATGTTGAGCAAAAATCGTATTCCTTTGCCAATTTCTCAAAAAGCCTGATCAACTTTACAATGCTGAGGACGTTACAACAATATGTCACCAAGAATATTTATTTTAAAGTTGGAAAAAATCTACAGCACCTACAGGCCCCAAAATGTTTTGTTTAAATCGGCATGCCAAAATGCAAATGATTCATAATAAGTAGCATCATACTTGGGAGTCCACGATGTTGCTCTTATAGCATATACTGTATTCTGTTACTGTACTGCACTTTAATGTTAAAAATCTCCTTAACAAACTACTTAATCAGCTACGGACACATAAAGATCTATAACCCGTAGCCAGGTCTTTTAAAGGAGAGTGTGATGGCATGCTAATCCAGAGGAAGAACTGAATTGGAAACTAAATTTGTGCTATTTCTGGTTTATTTTACTGTTGTTTTAAGTATACAAACTTAAACTCGATTTAAGATAATAATACTTGTTAGGGTCATATGTTTTTATCTTTAGAATACTAAGCATAACTTTTTTCAATTAATTATTTATTACCTTCTATTATTTGTTACTTTTCTTACTTTGTTTTCGGACCATGACAGAATCCGAAAGGAAAACAAGTGGAAATGAATCAGCATCATGTCTAACAGTCTCAGACCAACTGGGTCCAGATTTCGCTCGGAGACATTTCTTTCAGGACACCCACACTCGGAGCGGCTGCTCCTGGGGAAGAAAGCGCGCACTTGCTAAGAGAAGAAAAAATTATATCATTTGAAAAAAATGTTCAAAATATGCTTTAGAATGCTTGGCTTGAAATCAAACATGTAGCCAGGCCCTAAATTCCTCTGTTTTTCTCATGGCTGCAATGCGACCGGAAATAGCATTCTATTTCTTGAAGACCAACAGACTCTTCCCAGTCGAAAATCTGCTGATGCTAACGTTCAAGGCCACTGCATGCAGCAGTGTTCTCCATCGTGAGAACTGAAGTGTGTACTGTAAGCGCTAGAAACAGAGAGGCTGGGGATAACAGGTGCTCGTCACCTCTTCATTCTGACCGATTCCAGAGAACCAACTCTCGCAGCAGGGCCAGCAGTTTGTTCCAAACTCCCACACCTATTTGTGTAAAATGTCTCATTTTCTGTCTGAAATGCCCATCCACTGCCTCTCTTACATCCCCAAATGTCTTTGCTGAGCTCGAAACAGCTGTGTGTGTGTTAACTAGAGTCCTCCATACGAAAGCACACACGCACGCACGCACGCACGCACGCACGCACGCACGCACGCACGCACGCACGCACGCACATCACAGCATAGAATCATAACTAGGCATACAGACCTGTTGGTCTCCTCTGTAAATAATAAGCATTCTTAGAAACCGAATTCATTGCAGTGCGAAACTCTGGATCACAGCAATCTGTTCTGTAAAGGGGAACTGCAACGTTTTGTGATATTTTGGTGTTAGAAGGAATCGGCTTTGATGACGCTTTTCAAACAACAATGAAAGTAAAATAGAAACTGGAAGTTTTACATATTACTGTGTACATCACAAAATAGACAAAATGCCAGGTCTCCGCAGCGCCATATTCTGCGATTCAGATCAAGGCAACAAAACTTCCTGTGAGGTGAAGTGGTCCCATGACATCATAAACAAGCAGGCTTGTGAAGACATCTCCTTTAATCCCACAGAAATCTCACTCTCAACTGGGAGACGGTTTTGCCGCCAAATGCAACTTGTGAACTCTGCACGCAGATCACACGGGAACATTTCTGTGGTGAAATACCTGCCGCACAACCTGTACTTATTCGCTCGTACATCTCGTTCCATTAGTCATTACGGAGACTAGTGAGCAGGATGGGCCGCTGCACGACACAGTGCTCATGAACTCTCCCCCGTGGCGAGACCTGGGCTTCGCGACCACGAGGTGACCATACGGATCAGGATTCTGTGCTTAATTGTCAAATTTTGTCAATTCATTTATTTTGTTACCCAGGTTTAATAACCTGTCTAAGAAATTGAGACTGAAGTTCCCCCTTTAAGGGATTTTCAGCACAGGGGAGAGGAGGGGTTCACTCATCTCACCTCAAGCTCCTTGATCTTCTCCTCCGCGTTCCTCCTCTTCTCCTGGAGCTGGTTGTGGATCGCATCCTTGGACTGCAGGATAAACCTGGAAGGAACCGAGAACAGGCATGAGCCCGGCACACAAGTCTCGGCACAGGAAGACGGGAGAATCACTCCTGGTCTGGGAGGACACTTGTATCCACGGTGACTTACACATGCTCCCGCTCATACAGCTGGGGGTGCAACAGTCCAGACCCACAGTGCTGCTGCATGATGCCCCACTTGAAGAATACAACGGAAAATTCTGAAAACGTTAAAACGCCGCATGGCTGCTACAGGTTTGCTCACAATATATAAAGACGTCTTTCTTTTCAAGAGACCGCAGAAGTCTATCTGACACTGATAAAAGTCCTCACTCTCTCCTAAGCAGGACTTGTAATAACAGCACCCAACTCCAAAAGAACCCATCACTGATTGATACTTAGAAATCACATAACTACATTATTTTTTTGCTTCTGAATTCTAGATTAACAAAACCATGCTTGCTGAGTACACAGGACAGCAGGGCATGCAGGTTCCAGAGCTCATTGTGGCTCCTTCTATACTGGTGGGAATTTAGAGCCCAGTTCCTTACTTGCAGAACTAACGTCTAGTGGGTTTGTAAAAAATGAAAACAGAGTACAGTTACGCAGCTAGGACCTAGAAGGCAGTCAAATACTTTCACCTTCACAATAATCTGCGCTTTGTTTTTAGTTTTCTATACGAATGTATTTGTTTGTACAGGCATGAGCAGACTGGCTGTGGGAATTTCACTGTTTCGCTTTACAACAGCTAATTCGACTTTCTGTTTCCGTCTCTGACTCCAGATCGTCACAGCAGACGCACAGCATCATCTCTCCGTACTATCTTAAGCAGCAAATAGTTTGACTATGATTAAGAATGAGGAAACGCGGCCCAGATGCGAGGATTGGTTCAGCGGGGAAGAATGCCGCCACTTTCCTGGAGAGCTCTGTGAAATCCAGCAGTGATCACCTAACAGTGATACATGACTGACTGAGCATCACACACCTGTGGCTGAAACCCATTCAGATTCCCAAGCCGCAATTGATGATGATGTTGCCTCAGAACTGCTGTTAACTCAAGAGCAGTACAATCAGGAAATGCAATGTGGCCAGCTTTGTAATCAAGTGCTGTTACCCTGCAGGGCAGTTATGCTGTGTGTTGTGGTTCCTGTTACAGGATGACAAGCATTTGGTTCTTGCATTGACTTGTCTACTTAAACGTCACCTCTCAGGAAAACTAAAGAAACAGGAATCGCTGCCAAATTAGAGCTAGGCAAGTTGGATCGCTTTAAGGCAGGATTTCAGTTTTGACGTGGGACCTGCTAAACACAGGCCATTTTTGCTTTCCTTGCATCTCTCATACCAAGTAGTAGGTTTATTCCCTGCTGAAAAGAGAAGAAAGAAATTGCTGACACCCGAAGACGGCTCCACAGCCGAAACGTTGTGCTCCCATTCTTCTCTTTTCAGCCTGGAATAAGCCCATTACTTGTTCCAGCTCCCCTCCTGAACCCTCTCATACCAAGTCTGAAACAGAAGGCACTAAACATCTCCACATCATGGCTGCACTCCAGCAATCAAAGCTTCACATTTTAAAATCCCGTTTGTTCCAAAAACAATCTGAAAATCCCCTCCATCCCTCCCATTTCTTGTTTATTGAGAAGGGCCCTTCTGAGCTGATGTCAGGCCCTTGTCAGGAAGGGTAATTAATGCTGTAGCTCTTAACGGATTGTAGGATCCTGCCAGCTGCTCTGCTCCGCTAGTGAGGTAACTAATCAACAGCAGAGGATCACACTCCTAGACTGCCTCCTACACTTCCAGTGGTTTTCATTTAATAGGGAAGTGATTTAATGGAAAAGTTATTAGTATTCTAGCAGCCCTGTGCTGCCTCTGAGTCACAGCCCTGCCAGCCCCTTCGGAAGGACGAACACTCCCAGGCCACTGTCAGGCGCGATGGCCTAGAGCTCACACCACAGGAATGTGAAATGGCTAGGCCAGGAGGAGACAAAACTTCAGAAACATTGGGGGATGCTACATACTGCACTAACATGCTAAAATCTCTTTAAAAAATCTTAAAGCCTATCGCCTTTATTTGCCATCATTAGGGAGATAATCCCAGAAAGTGCTGGTTACTTCATTCTGCTGTTCAGACTAAAATTCTGACATTAATTTTGCACTCATGCTCTTGCATGAAACAATTTTACCGATATTAATTCTGCGACATCATGCTCTTGCATGGAACAACTTTACTTTGAGGAAAATATTTTTTTTTAAACACTTATCCGAGTTTTGAAATGTGTATTACGGGTTTGGCTGCTGAACAAGTTGTGAGTTTGAATTAATCATTTAGTCATGACTCATGTAGCATCGTGGCCATTTTGGATGATCTCATTATTTTTTAAACAACCTCTTCTTCTGGCAAACTGCAAAGCTGATCAAAAACCCAACACAAATCAGGATTAGCTTAAAGCTTGCTCAGATGAGGACGTTTCAAGTGCAAAAAGCAAGCAACAGTACTGACTTTCTTGCATACATTGCAGCATTTTATTTATGGCAGAATGCGGCACATCCGATAAACTGCTTGTGGATATATTACTTGAAAGGCAGAAAATGTCATGGTAGAATAATTTAACTTGAAGAATTTTGCAATCTGTCTGCCTTTAGACATTTTAGCCCATCTACTACACAGCAATCAAACCCTTTGAAATTAAAAGGTTCAGACAGCTGTGAGACAGTCCCAGACCTGTGTTTTGCACTTCATCTGCCCGAGCTCACTGAGGTAACACCACTGCGGAGCCCGAACTGTGGCCGACACTTCAGAACAACTGATCCCAGCCTGCTGTGTGTGGGAGAGGACCATGCCCTGAACACACTGAAACAGCAGACAGCAGCTGAGCATAAGCTAACGTTATCTTGAAAACTTGAAGTAGACTTTCAAAAGAAGTTTAAAAGCGGGAGAATATTGTGCCTAGCCGAAAGTCAACAAGATAGCTATCAATGGTGTAACGAAGGGAATATTTCTCAAAACACATTCCTAAGTGGTTATATTTATCTGACAAGAGATTACAGCACACTCTCCACGGAGAACAAAGCAGGAGTGTTCAGGTCCGAATTCCTGCAGCTCAGAAGTCTTGCCTCCTGCGATGAATAGAAAAAGAACAGGGAGACTCCGGGACACAATTTACTCCCGACAATCAGACCATTGTTTCCTGCAGAGGCCCCGAACCACTGGAAATCTGTGACCGGGAAGCACGGAGCTGCGATCTGCTTTAATAACCGGGAGCAGAGCAGATAGCCAGGATGACGAGAAAGAGGTGAGCGTGCCGGGAGCAGCCACCGGCCGGGCGGAGACGGGCAGCGCCCAGCGCCCTGCCGCTCGCCGGAGCCACGGGGCGAGCAGAATCCTTCAGGCAGCCACTGCGCCCGGCTCAAAACTGGCACGGCTGTCCCCACAGGTCAAGTTCCCCGCATTGCGCTGCTCACCCTCCCTGCGTGGGCAACTGGAAAGGCCAGCCAGAGACCACAATGAGCTCTTTCAGATCCCGCGGTTGCTCACCATCGGACAACGAGGGTGACTGGGTGTGTGCAGAATATAACTGCTCAGCCCTCACCCGCCTTCCACTTCCTCTCCGGGGCGAGAGCATGCACCAGAGACGAGGAGAGCTGGGCTGGGCTGGGCTGGGCTGAGCTGGGCTGGGCTGGGCTGGGCTGGGCTGGGCTGGGCTGAGCTGAGCTGAGCTGAGCTGAGCTGAGCTGAGGTGCATGCGCGAGACACATCATGTTAAAAACACCACCATGCAGAAAAAGGAAATCAGCTTCTCCAACTTGACCCCGGGGTTAACTAAACACTTGGAGGGGGCGCGCAGACCAGCGCGCGGGGGACCCCACTGTGCTCCACAGCCGTCCTTGAGGGAAGCTGGAAGAGCCTGAAATAGAAAGGTGCAGCCCCCGTCATTCCTGGGATTCCTTCTCACCCAGGACAGGGGATAAAAGCCTGCTGGGGTTCTCCAGTTCCAGTTTTCCCATAAAAGAAATTCAGCAGGTCCTGGAACTGTAAGAAGATTCCTGATCATTCACACCTCAGTGCCTCCAGGCCATGAAACTCTGCACCTGTTATTACCTGCCTACTACCTGGTCATTACCTGGGCTAGTCATGGGCAGCAGAGGAAGCAATGCTTCTGCAGCAAGAGCCATGGGGTAGAAAATGCTTCAAAGGTTCACGGACTCAGGAGAGCAGACTATGACGGCAGGAGACAGATACGCAATCAGTAAAGAAAGGACAGCAAGATATATCTTAAGGAAATTAATCCTGCTCAAGACACAGAGACTAAATTCATGCAAAGCAAAATGAAAATATACAGCACTTTACAGAGTTCTTTAAAAACACCACAACAAATATCTCAACAAGGCTTAAAAAACTGTAAAAATATTTTATCGGTATGATCCAAAGTAACAGTTTTACTGTGATAGTAAAGGTGAAGTAATGTCTTACTTCAGAGGTAATAAAAGAAGACCTAGCTTCAGACAGGCAGAACTAAGAAAGATACTGACAACAGGCCACAGGATGAGGGAAGGTAAAGATCTGTAAGGAATAATACATCAGAAAAGACCAGAATCGAATCCTGAGTTCATTTCACGCCAGGACTACTTCCTGGAGGATAGGGGAGAAAGCTTTCCTAAACTAGAAAGATTTAACTCAATTATCGTCCAATTATTATTAGGATGGTAAGATGAGATCGAATGGGATCATTTGAAAATTAAATATTTTCCAAGAGAACATAATTATTTCTACTAAAATTACAAGTAATGAAGCCACAATTTTAATTTAAAACGGCCATGTAAATGTAGTTTATTGATTGGCAAATAAAGGTATGAGGAGTATCAACGATCACCGCTAAAACTAAGGAACTTTCAGCTCCGTTTTGAGCACAACCAGCTGTTCCCACTACAGAGGAAACGGAGACCTCTTTACAAATCCCCACACGGGGAGGGTCACCCTGCGAGGATCTTGCCCTGACGTGGGAGCCCATCCGGCCCTCCCGACTGC